TTCAGCGCTAAACAGGTTTTTCGATTACATGCCATTTCTTTCTAGAGTATAGCAATTATTTTTTCAATGACAAAGTCTGAATGCAAAAAAATATAATAGTTATCGTCTGTTAGATTAGGATTTAATGTCAATGTTGATCTGGGCTCAGCCTGCTGTAGCTACACACTACGTTAGTAGTGTTAAGTCACAGACTACACGCTATGTTAGTTGTGTTAAGTCACAAACTACACACTATGTTGGCTGTTTTAGGTCACCAACTACACACTACGTTAGCTGTGTTAGGTTACCAAATACACACTACGTTAGATGTGTTAAGGCACCAACTACACACTATATTAGCTGTGTTAGGTTACCAAATACACTCTACGTTAGATCTATTAGAAGATCACCAACTACACACTACGTTAGTTGCTAGGTCACCAACTACACACTACGTTAGTTGCTAGGTCACCAACTACACACTACGTTAGTTGTGTTAGGTTACCAAATACACACTACGTTAGATGTGTTAAGTCACCAACTACACACTATATTAGCTGTGTTAGGTTACCAAATACACTCTACGTTAGATCTATTAGAAGATCACCAACTACACACTACGTTAGTTGCTAGGTCACCAACTACACACTACGTTAGTTGCTAGGTCACCAACTACACACTACGTTAGTTGTTAGGTCACAAACTACACACTACGTTAGCTGTGTTAGGTCATCATCTCCTCATTACATTAGCGAGGTTTGGCGTGGACCATTTATTTATTTAGCTTATTAAAATTAAAACATCTCCAAAAACATATGGCCATCTACTGATTTGGCCTCTTCAGACAATAGATTAGCAAGTGGTTTAGTAAAATGTTTATTGACTTATGTGTGTGAGTGTGCAGGGGCGTAGCGAGGGGGGGGGGGGGCGGGGGGGGGGGAGGGGGTGCGGACCGCACCGGGTGACACCATTTAGGGGGTGACACCAAGGCAAAAAATAGCAAAACATATAGAGAAAAACTTGAGGGGGGTGCAAATCGAAAGTTTGATGGGGGGTGCAAATCAAAAATTTGGGGGGGGGGGGGGTGCAAATCGAAAACTTGAAAGTTTGTCCCCGAGAAGGGTCGCTTCGCCTCTGGGGGGTGACACCATTAAGTGCCGCACCGGGTAACACCCGACCTCGCTACGCCACTGTGAGTGTGTATGTTTGCTAGACGCCTTTGGTACAAATCATATTAAAATATTGTAAATTTAAAATTCTAAATGCACTGAAAATAATATTTAGAATAAAACCTTATAGGCCTATAGCTATACCACAGCTTAAAATGCCCATTGATAATATGGCAAATTATCAGAGAATCTTAAATTACACACCGGAATAAAACAAATGTGTGTTTGTTCCCACCATTGATAAGTTGTATTGCCTTAACGGATTAATATAGATGCAAACAACAGAATTTAATTAAATGGTTAGCTAAGCCTTTGCCCGCAACCCCGACATATTTAAAATGTTGAGCAGTGTTTACCGGTAACTCTTCAGTTTTTTTATATTTTCCTGTTTGTCCATTCTCTACTACCCTGCGCCAAAGCGGCTTTCTCTCTCTCATCACTTGCTACGCCTCTGGGCAAAATCATTTACGTTTCTTTAAAAATTCAATGCAACCATCTGGCGTGTTTGTAGGATGAATAAAGCGGACACAAGACAACAACAAACTTTGTCTAGTTAAAGAGAACAAATATACAAGTATAGGAACAAGTCAAAGCTGCTTACCCGGTGAGTAAACAAAACAGTGAGTGTGTTGTTAGAAAAACTTAGCTATCTTCTTATACCTAAATATTTAAATAAAATTATTATCAATGGGTTGAATTGGTTATCCAAAATACTTCTCAACAGACCAGCAGATCCCTGACCAAGATGATTGTGAACAAATTGATCTTACTAATGTTGTTGTTATGCACAATTTCGGGGGAAATGTCTTTTCTAAGGCAGTATAATAGAAAAACGTAAGTTTAGTCCAACCTCAGGTTCTTAGGTTTCATAAGGTTTAGTCCAACCTCAGGTTCTTAGGTTTCATAAGGTTTAGTCCAACCTCAGGTTCTTAGGTTTCATAAGGTTTAGTCCTGTATCAGGTTCCTAGGTTTCACAAGGTTTAGTCCTGTTTCAGGTTCCTAGGTTTCACAAGGTTTAGTCCTGTATTGTGTTCCTAGGTTTCACAAGGTTTAGTCCTGTATTGTGTTCCTAGGTTTCACAAGGTTTAGTCCGGTATCATGTTCCTAGGTTTCATAAGGTTTAGTCCGGTATCATGTTCCTAGGTTTCATAAGGTTTAGTCCTGTATTGTGTTCCTAGGTTTCACAAGGTTTAGTCCTGTATTGTGTTCCTAGGTTTCATAAGGTTTAGTCCTGTATTGTGTTCCTAGGTTTCATAAGGTTTAGTCCGGTATCAGGTTCCTAGGTTTCATAAGGTTTAGTCCTGTATCAGGTTCCTAGGTTTCACAAGGTTTAGTCCGGTATCATGTTCCTAGGTTTCACAAGGTTTAGTCCGGTATCATGTTCCTAGGTTTCATAAGGTTTAGTCCGGTATCATGTTCCTAGGTTTCATAAGGTTTAGTCCTGTATCATGTTCCTAGGTTTCATAAGGTTTAGTCCTGTATTGTGTTCCTAGGTTTCACAAGGTTTAGTCCGGTATCAGGTTCCTAGGTTTCATAAGGTTTAGTCCTGTATTGTGTTCCTAGGTTTCATAAGGTTTAGTCCTGTATTGTGTTCCTAGGTTTGACAAGGTTTAGTCCTGTATTGTGTTCCTAGGTTTCACAAGGTTTAGTCCTGTATTGTGTTCCTAGGTTTCACAAGGTTTAGTCCTGTATTGTGTTCCTAGGTTTCACAAGGTTTAGTCCTGTATTGTGTTCCTAGGTTTCACAAGGTTTAGTCCTGTATTGTGTTCCTAGGTTTCATAAGGTTTAGTCCTGTATTGTGTTCCTAGGTTTCATAAGGTTTAGTCCTGTATTGTGTTCCTAGGTTTCACAATATATTATTTAAAACCCTCAGTGTCACTTATTATCCTTTTAACCAAAGTTATCATTAGATGAGCCGTGATATGATACTGGCAGATGAAATTGTGTTATTGTACAGCATCATATTTTCAATGGTATGGTAGCGGTAACAGGATCAGTTCTAACATTCAAATTTAGTAAATCTGAACGAAACTACATTTTAAAATTAACTAGCTTAGAATCTTAGTCCAAACTAAAAAATTTTAAACTAAAATTATTTTAGTCCAAACTACCTTATTATCTCGTTAATCTGGAATAATTGATATAATTGAAAATTGTGAAACTGACGAATTTGGTATTAAATGAATAGCTGATGGTGTAAGTTTTCACCCCTTTCAAAAAACATGATCTCACACACATATGAGTTCAATGCCGTGCTTTGAAAATAACTTAACAACTTTCGGCGAATCCATCCCTTTTCAATCCAACTCTCATTTTGAGTTTAAAGCCCCTCGTCTTCGTTCTCAACAACGCGCGACATGTCAACAAATGAACATAGAAAGGAATAAATAAATGAACAAATAAATAAATATACATATAAATATACAAATAAATATGATATATATACATATATATATAATATATATATATATATATATATATATATATATATATATATATATATATATATATATATATATATATAAAGTATGTGGTTTTTAATAGATGATTTATAATTTATTTAAGAGAAAAGCGAAAATTGTTGTTTAAAAATGCTTTGCTAAAACTCAGGTGCCAGTCGCCAGGGCAAGATTGCTCGCGTTATCCTTGCTGCAAAAGTGATAAAACAAAATGCAGGTAATTCGTACGTTTACATAGTAATAACTTATTGCATCTAATAATCGTTGTATTTTAGATAGATGCATCATAAAATGTGTTTAAACTTTAAAAAAATATGTATAATGATTCATGTATACTTATACATTCAAATTTTAATGCACGAACAATTACCCATACACACACAAACACACACACAGATATATATATATATATATATATATATATATATATATATATATATATATATATATATATATATATATGTATGTATATATATGTATGTATATGTATATATATATATATATATATCTATATATATATATATATATATATATATATATATATATATATATATATATATATATATATATACATATACATACATATATTTATGTATATATATATATATATATATATACATATGTATATATATATATATATATATATATATATATATATATATATATATATATATATATATATATATATATATATACTGTGCTTTTTTGTAAAAAAATATTATTGCGCGCAATTTAAAAATTAAACTTCAATTTTAACAAATATTAATAATAAATGTTAAAATACAAGAAAAATAATAATTTTTTCCCAATATTGAAAAAGGGGCCGACAGGCCGTACCGGTGCGTACCATCAAAAAGCACTGTTGATATATATATATATATATATATATATATATATAGAGAGAGAGAGAGAGAGAGAGAGAGAGAGAGAGAGAGATAGAGAGAGAGAAATTAATACACATTATACTTACAGTTGGATTGGAAATTACCTAAGATGTCGCAAAATTTAATTATCTCCTACTAACTTTGCTTAAAAAAAGTAAGTTGACATGTGTCGTGTTGTTTGTGGTCTCTAGGTTTCACCTCTACTATAGAATGTAGAGTTTAAACAAGATTTAAAAACATTATTTTGTTTTTTCTTTTTACTTTTTTACTAGATTTAGTACAATTGATTTTATAACAACCTCTATACTGTGACACATTGCCACACCTATTAACAATTTAATAATTTCTTAAGTTGCAGTGTCAGTGTCTAATGTTTCAACGTAGGTAGACTGCTTGCACCACGATGCTTGTTTTCTATTTACATAACTATATCAGATAAATACAATTAAAAGTATATGGAAATTCGGTGTATCATGGAAATTAATTTCATTTTAACATATTAAAGTAATTGAAACAAAATTAAAACGTTGTTTTTTTAATTATTTTCAAGAGACGTCGTGTATTTGTATTTCATGGAAGGCTTTAAAGTCGCATGTCAACATTTACTCGGCGATTCGGAATATTATTTTTTGACTATTTAATTCAAACCAAAAACAAGTCACAAAATACCCCACCTTACACAGTGAACATAATAAATAAATTAAATTTCACTATTGCGTTTTACATTGTGGTTATGTTTTGGACCTGAACGTCCTTGAGGCTGATGAAGTAGAGTGCGTCTGTTTCTGTGACCTCCGCATTTGGAGTTTCTGTTGTACCATTTTGAATACCAGCCTCCTCTGCTTTCCCTAACCCGAGTCATGTGTGATAGTAGAGATCTTCCACCCCTCACCCACAGCCCACCATGCCGGACCATGGACATTCTAAATATACATGTTTTTTAAAAATAGGTTTTAAAAATCAAAGTTAAGAAGAAAAAGAGAAAGAATTAAAATATGAACAACACATCTAAAAGTTTGATGTGAAATTAACACAAGTTTAAATTTTAGTATCGGGGCTATGCACTTTGTAGGATTTCAATTTTTCAAAAACCTATTCAAAGATTGGCACAAAAATGAGTTTTAAATAAACCGGGAGTGATCTCCCCTAAACTTTCTCGGATATTCTAATATAAATCTACGAGGGATGGCAACTCAGGACATAGACAATATTTGTAATCCATTTTTAATTACTAAAACTTTTTATAATAGAATGGAATCTCGTAAAAAAAAATAATAATTGCACACTAAGTAAACGACTAATAAAATGTGCATAATAGTGCGCAATATTATTAGTACTTTATAAATCGGAAATAGCCGTAAATTAGTACTCCCGATTAACGGAAATTACTCAAAATTTGACAGAAGGTAGAAAATTAGATCTTTTACTTACATGTGAAATTTCATTTATCGATCTGAAATAATACTCAAGTTATAGGCTTTTGAAAAATTCAAAGTAGAAAAAGTACCACTTCCGGTTATCGGAAATCGCTTAAAAGTTGATACGAATCTACGATTTTGATAAAATACTTATATATGAAATGAAATTTCATCAACCTAGCTGTAACGGTACTCAAGTAATCGTGTTTACACACAGACACACACACACACAGACACACAGATACACAGACATACGGACAAGATTGCAAAATTTTGTTTTTCCGTATCAGTGAGGTGTATAACGTCGAGATTTGTAAAAATCTCGTTTTTTTTTTTTGCACGATTACAAGACTTTCTCTATACTACGTATATACGAGAAAGTAAAAATTATATTTTCGTCCCCCGGCCACAAGGAAACGACATGGCCGTTTTTTTTTCTTCTGTTTTTCTCTTCTTTTTTTAAATTGTTTAATGTTTTGATTTTTATTGTTAATGTTGTCTACCTAAAGAGCCCAAGTCTCGTTTTTTCGTCATTTATCATTTTGTCATTTTAACAATACAAAAACGAATTCGATTCCTTTTCAATATAATGAAGCTATTTCTATCTAACTATAAATATTGAGTGGCAGAGAGCAAGCAAAAAATTATATGTTATATATAAAACTTTGCAACATACTGTAATGATAATCCTTCCTAATTTTTAGTCAACAAAGGATTTAAAACGTTTTATAAAGACAGTATTTTAAGAGAGGGATTTAAAAAGTTGTATAAAGACAGTGGTTTAAGTGAGGGATTTAAAACGTTTTATAAAGACAGTGGTTTAAGTGAAGGATTTAAAAAGTTGTATAAAGATAGTGGTTTAAAAAGTTGTATAAAGACAGTGGTTTAAAAAGTTGTATAAAGACAGTGGTTTAAGTGAGGGATTTAAAAAGTTGTATAAAGATAGTGGTTTAAGTGAAGGATTTAAAAAGTTGTATAAAGATAGCGGTTTAAGTAAAGGAATTTAAAAGTTTTATAACGACAGTGGTTTAAAAAGTTGTATAAAGACAGTGGTTTAAAAATTTGTATAAAGACAGTGGTTTAAGTGAAGGATTTAAAAAGTTGTATAAAGACAGTGGTTTAAAAAGTTGTATAAAGACAGTGGTTTAAAAAGTTGTATAAAGACAGTGGTTTAAAAAGTTGTATAAAGACAGTAGTTTAAGTGAAGGATTTAAAAAGTTGTATAAAGATAGCGGTTTAAGTGAAGGAATGTAAAAGTTTTATAACGACAGTGGTTTAAAAAGTTGTATAAAGACAGTGGTTTAAAAAAGTTGTATAAAGACAGTGGTTTAAAAATTTGTATAAAGACAGTGGTTTAAGTGAAGGATTTAAAAAGTTGTATAAAGACAGTGGTTTAAGTGAAGGATTTAAAAAGTTGTATAAAGACAGTGGTTTAAAAAGTTGTATAAAGACAGTGGTTTAAAAAGTTGTATAAAGACAGTGGTTTAAAAATTTGTATAAAGACAGTGGTTTAAGTGAAGGATTTAAAAAGTTGTATAGAGACAGTGGTTTAAGTGAGACGACTGCCACCATTGGCCTGAGTCTCTTTACTGTAACAGAACAAAATGAAGCGGTCATCAGGTCATCCTGAGTTAAATTTAGTTAATTATTAACCACAAATGAAGTTTTAAAATCCTTAATGCGCCACCCTATTATTGATCAGACAAAGCCGTTAAATCGTTTCGTTTAGTCTGAGGTGACATCTGTTATCCTAATCACAGGAGCTGATGGTGTCGTTGATTCAAGATTTCGTAAACTTCTAATCGTCAGGTAAATGCGTCCTATACATATATAGAGCCTATACATATGGTGATAGTCGGCGTTGTCGAGTCGGTAAAGCTCATGGTTGCTAAACCGAAAAGTCTCGAGTTCGAACCCTCGGGCAGATGAGGCTCGTTAGCTGGGGACAGTCACTCTTCTAGGAGAGACAACTCCAAAATTAAAACAACTGCTGCCTTGTAGTTTATTCTTGGTTGGACAAAGGCTATGGAAGCAAATCCAAAAAGAAAAGCAGGCTGAAATCGGAGTGAATTGCCTCAATGGCGCATAACCAGTTGACACGTAACGCTTAATTGTGTTGGAGGCGTGGTCGAGTCGGAAATAAGATCATGGTTGATAAATTCGAACAAAGTCTCGAGTTCAAACCCACTGGCAGATAAATCTCGATACCCTTCGACACTAATAATTAAGAACGAAGAAGAAGAAGAAGAAGATATGGTGATAATAAACTTATATTTCCTCTGGTACATTGAATGTTGTTGTTTGTAATCATAAAGTTGGGTGACAAGAATTTGTTTTTACAACCTAACTTCTGCAAAACAATTTTGTTTTCTTTTTGTTAACAACTTATGAAAAAAAAAGTGTTTCCCCGTTTGTTCTAGAGCAAAGGACTTTTTGCAAGCACTAATAATCAAATAAACAGTTAATATTATTTTTGTAATACAAATCTTAACGGTGTAAAACATTTATGTTAACGAAATTATTCATACTGCTAACAACAACAAAAAATCAAGCATCAGAATATTTTAATACTGAAGGTCTAAAAAATCATCTTTTATTTGTAGTTATTTAAATAGTAGTGTATTAATATATATTTCATGAAAATCGTTTATTTTCTACTTTTTAGTGCATTATTAAATAAAAGCTAGTTAGTAAAACGTTTTTATAAGGTTGTAAGGTGTGGTGGGGCTGTCAGCTGTAGCCAACCAAGGTTCACTTCTGTTATATTCAAGGTTCAAACAGGCATTATTATAACATTATTATTATAACATATAGCAAGTACGCGAATTTTGATTGGGTTTTTAAAACAATATATGTGAAACATCCCTAGTTCAATGCACAATCTCACCCGTGTTATATACCCTGTTTCACATGTGTGTCTCTAAATCACTCGGGTCAAAAGGTCAATGCTTTTTAAGTTCGTTCTACATTTGTCGGTGTCTAACCATCCAATGTGCCACGTCAGACCCTCACTACAACTAAGGACGTGTTTTCCCAAATTTAACACCCAGGTAACGCATTCCTATCAAATTACTGCCTGTCCATTTCAGGTAGGGAATTCACTAATGGTGAGCATGGTCTGGAACATCCCCCCCCCCCACCTACACATTGCATTTAATCAATGTGGGTTCTATTACTCTACTAATTGAAATAAATTTAGCTCTGTAGTGTGCCCCAAATAACTTTACAGACAGATCTACTAAGAATCAAAATACTTTAGTTTAAACACTACTTAAAAGCATGCCCGTACTATTCATAAAATTCAGAGGGGCACAATTATTCTAATTATTCTAATTTTTCTAATTATTCTAATTATTCTAAACGATACCACTACAAGTTATCAAAAAAAATATGTTCATGCTTATTCTTGAGGTTATCCTTAAAGCGTATCAAAACATTGTAGGCATTCTTATTCTTAAGTATGTTCATTTAATGCATCAAACATAATACATTTACAGAATGCCACTACAATTTCACAAAAAACTGAATGGGCGTTATTACACTACAAATGGCAATGTAGTACACGAAAGGTGCCCCAAAACTGTATTATAATAATAATATGGGCAAAATACTCGTTGTGTGCACTTAAAATGTATTATAATGAACATGTAGATAAAAACGTTAAAGTGCTCCCAAAAAAAGACACAATGATGATGGGTATAATAACTGTATGGGTGCACTAAAATATAATATATAATTATAAGCATAATTACTTTCGAGATAACGTTACAATATATAAAATGAAAAATGAGCATATAGATGTCTATAAAATATTTTTAAAGCAAAGTGGGTATATTACTGAATGACCTAAAAATACTATATAAATAATAGACATACGAATATACGAATAACTACTTTTAAGATGCCACTACAGAATCTAAAAATAAATGTTGATATAATTACTTTACGAATGTCTTTGAAAATTAATATAATGAATATGGGCATAATTACTTTAAAGATGCCCCTGTAGTGCATATGAATTATATGGGTAAAATTTCTCTAAACGATGCCCCTACTAAATACTAATAAGTAAAGATCACATCAGTGGCGGA